GCCAAAATAGGGGCAAAACAGTGCTTTGGGAGAGCTCGAAAAATCAATTTGGTCGACCTAAAAAAAAGGTCATCAAAATTTTCGATTTTTTTTTGAAAATCCGCCCCCCCCCCCCCCCCCCCTCGAGAAAATCCTAGATCCACCCCTGACTTGATATGAAAATTTATGTTCAGGGGCAGAAAGATATGCTAAAAAAACTTCCAGAGAGTGATGGTTTCACTGTCAGGCAATTACACGAGTTCCTATGGATACCTGAACTACCTCTTAATCCTAATCAAAAGTTCGGATGAAAGTTATTGGTGGAAAGGATGAAATGTAGTGAAAGAAGGGAAGAAAAAGCGCAGCAGCAGTTTAGGTTATACGTCAAGACCTTATCACAGATCAGAAAACCCAACAGTCAAAACTATTGCAAAAGAAAGACGCTAAAAGTATACAAACATGCTTTATTCTTAACCTACATTTACTGGTAGTAAAAACGGAGGGGCTCAGTTACGAATTAACGACGAGAAACAAGTGCAATGGAGAAAAAGGTTGAAGAGAAACTGAAAAAAAACGCAACAAATATTCGGATAAAATTTCCTTGATCGACTCAATCAATCATTGCATTAGGCTTATAATTACTCTAGCGACAACAACAACGGAACAGTTTAGACTGAATAAAAAAATTCATTGTTTGAATTGGCTTGCCAAATCAAGGAACGACGTTTGAAACGATAAAAAGAATGAACTTGAATATGTACAAAACCATCATTTCGAAGGGTGGAAAGTGATGCCTCAAAACGGGGATTGGGACGGCTTTGGAAAAACGCGGAGATCATGCGGTATCATACGCGCTACACTTCTAACCTAAAGTAGAAATGAAACACTGGTTTAAACTACTTTCAAGCATTAGCTAAAATCTGGCCAAAACACTTTCATTCAAAAAACTTAGGGATCAGAAACCTTAACTGCCACTTTTTTTTGAAAAAAACCCTCAAGACGCCAGAAACATCGTTAATAATAAGTGTAAATAGATTACTAACAATTGATTATGAACACAGACGCTTGTCTGATAAAAGTATGAAGTTAGTACACTATTTGCCGAAAATTCCGCGGGAAAAACAACGCAACTGTCGGAAGCAAATAAAACGAAGGATGAGGCTCAAATGAGCGCGCTCAAAAAATTCATAGCGTTTTTGTCCAAAAAAAAACAAGAAATCGAAAATACATAACGACATCGTGTCCAGCGCAAAGTCGGAACACGAATAAGGCTATTGAAAATAAATTAAGGCGAAGGAACTGAACAACGCGTTTAAAAACTGTCATACAATCGAAGTTTGAACTAACGTACACAAGTGTGCATTAATTTTTTCAAATTGCCCGTTAATGAATCAACTAACGATGGTAGAAAATCCAATTCTTCATCTAATTATCTGACCCGGGGCGTCGGCCATTGGTTGAATTAGCATCTATTTTTGTATCTGGAACATTTTGATTGCAACAGCTTTGAACAACAAATTTTTTAAATGAAAACCCAAACAAGACTGCTCGTATCAGAGCGAAGCCCTGAATGTTCCGACTGCCTTTTAAGGTTTATGGAGCAGTAATAACATAAAAAAAATTGAAGGTAATAAAACAAAATAAATTCTTTTTTTGAAATATGAAGTTTTTTATGAAAATCATCACCCAACACGCCATATAAAGTACAAAAGAATAGATTTTGCTGCTAGTAAGAATCAATTATGGCAAATAAGCTTAATTCAACCAATTTGGAACGATTTCTAGAACGGATTAAATCTCCGCTTACGCATCGAAATTCGGAACAAAAATACGTTCGAACATGTTTGCAACAATCTTGTTAGATTGGTTCGAGGTTTCGATGCAGAAATTATCAGTGTCAAAACAACTGATAATATAACAAATACAAGACTGCTCGTATCAAGACGAAGCCCTGAATGTTCCGACTGCCTTTTAAGGTTTATGGAGCAGTAATAACATAAAAAAATTGAAGGTAATAAAACAAAATAATTTTTTTTTTAAATTAGAATTTTTTCTGAAAATCATCACCCCACACGCCATATAAAGTACAAAAGAATAGATTTCGCTGCTAGTAAGAATGAATTATGGCAAATAAGCTTATTTCAACCAATTTGGAACAATATTGTTAGATTGGTTCGAGCTTTTCGATGCGAAAATTATCAGTGTGAAAAGAACTGATAATATAACAAATACAAAACTGCTCGTATCAGGGCGAAGGCCTGAATGTTCCGACTGCCTTTTAAGGTTTATGGAGCAGTAATAACATAAAAAAATTGAAGGTAATAAAACAAAATAATTTTTTTTTTAAATTTGAATTTTTTTCTGAAAATCATCACCCCACACGCCATATAAAGTACAAAAGAATAGATTTCGCTGCTAATAAGAATCAATTATGGCAAAAAGCTTATTTCAACTCATTTGGAATGATTTCTAGAACGGATTAAATCTCCGCTTACGCATCGAACTTCGGAACAAAAATACATTCGAACATGTTTGCAACAATCTTGTTAGATTGGTTCGAGCTTTTCGATGCGAAAATTATCAGTGTCAAAACAACTGATAATATAACAAATACAAGACTGCTCGTATCAGGTCGAAGTCTTGAATGCTCCGACTGCCTTTTAAGGTTTATGGAGTAGTAATAACAAAAAAAAGTTGAAGGTAATAGGACAAAATAAATATTTTTTGAAATTAGAAGTTTTTTCTGAAAATCATCACCCCACACGCCATATAAAGTACAAAAGAATAGATTTCGCTCCTAGTAAAAATCAATTATGGCATATAAGTTTATTTCAACTAATTTGGAACGATTTCTAGAACGGATTAAACCTCCGTTTACGCATCGAAATTCGGAACAAAAATACATTCGAACATGTTTGCAACAATCTTGTTAGATTGGTTCGAGGTTTCGATGCAGAAATTATCAGTGTCAAAACAACTGATAACATAACAAATAAAAGACTGCTCGTATCAAGTCGAAGCCCTGAATGTTCCGACTGCCTTTTGAGGTTTATGGAGCAGCAGTAATAACATAATAAAATTAAATGAAATAAAACATAATGAAATTTTTTTTCTAAAATTTGAATTTTTTTTATAAAAATCATCCCCCCACACGCCATATAAAGTACAAAAAGATAGACTTCGTTCCTTAAAACAAACCAATTATGGCAAATAAGCTTCGTTAAACCAATTTGGAACGATTTATAAGACGGGTTAAATCTCCGCTTGCACGTTAATAGTGCGATTTATATCGCAGGTTAATTGTCCCAAATTGGTCAAAATGGCCAAAACGGCAATCTTTAAAATGATCACAGGTGAAATATTTTTTAAAAATTAAGCTCAGGATAACAATACCTTTTGAATGATAAAAAAAAATTCCGTCAAAAATGGCTAGTTAAAAAGTCGAAATTTGTCTGAAGAAAAAAAAACCCAACCCGAGCACAAATATTCCGTTACTTTCGTATCGAAAGTCGGAACAATTATTAGTGAGGCATTACAGACAATAAACTGTGACTCCATAAAAAATTTGAATCCATAATTTGGTATTTACACAAACAAGTTCCATATGATCAACGAGATGTTGTTCAAGAAAAACAAAACGGTTATCGCTTTTCAACTGCGTGCTCCTATTGTGATGAGAATCCAGAAACAAAAACCAACAACCCAGATTGTTAAAAATGATTGATGTAGCTTGCAGTTATTGCTGGTGCACTCATATGAACTGCCAAGTTCAGATCATGGCAGTTACTTCAAATTATTTTTATAACGCCGATAAGACTCAAATGATGTTATCGTCAAAGATTATGCAGGACTACACGTTTCCAGATTACGAATCTAACATGTGAGTTCAAGCTGAATTTGAGACCCGTTACCGGAAGGACTATCTCAGTTCGGCTTCGAGGCCATTCGCCAACATAGCACATCAAAGGAAAGTCATTTAATACCCAGAAATCCCCTAAGGTTCGAAAAAAAAAGATTAATTAGAAGAAATCAGGGCCTGAATGCAACACGATAAAGCGAATCTTAAACAGATTAGAAGACCAGATTCGCACAGGGAAGCTGCGTTACGATCGAGTGCCGAAAAGCCGAAGATCTGAAGGCATAAATTATTACAGCAAAAACGCTCGTAGAGATGTGGGTAGCCCGTCTCAATTGAGCAGCTCATCAAAAACTCTGATGATAACCGAGGTTGTAATGGCGAGTCAGCCGGTTTGCTAGAAACACGCCATTAAATACAAGACAAACACGATAATCTAATCGCGCAGACTACCAGAGGTGGAGAAAATTGTTGCTCCTGTGGGCTAAAGTATATTGCAGTATATTGATTGACTTTTTAATGTTTCATGTAAAATTTTGAATTATTGGAGCAGGATTGTATTTGCCGCTGGTTAATTATTCAACTTGAATTACTTTTTTACGTTTCTTTTGTTGAGTTAACACGGAATTGGGATCTACTTAACAATCTCCACCCATATCAAGAAAGGGGGGCAGATTGTTAAGTAGATCAAAATGGTCGATTTATTCGATTTATTCATAGGGGTGGAGATTTTTAAGTAGGTACCATGGGGGGATTGTTAAGTAGATCCCGGAATTGTTAGTGCATACTTCTACCATTGGGACAAAGAATGTTCAAAAAACCAAAGATCGACTTCATAACTCTTTTGAACCATCACATCCAAAACTATCTCAAAGTTTGCGGACTGCTCTCTTTGAAAAAATTATTTTGATCTAAATTTTGCTATAGAGAATTTGCAAAAATAGCTTAAACTGTCAAAAACAACTAGTGAGCATTTTGAGTATACTTTGCATGCATCTTTGAACTTTCAAGCGACCGTGATATATAGTTTTTGCCTTCAAATTTAGCGTTTGTATATAAAAATGTTCTGAAATGCATGTAGAAATGCTGCGGTCATTTTTTGTTTTTGGTTAATTCTGGCTGGGCCAACTTTTTTGAAGCTTTTCATGCAGATTACAATTCTAACCTGTTATCGATCTGATATCTGAGGAAGCCACTGCGAGTGGCCACGAAGTCAGCCACCACAGACTCACTGGGAAATGGGTCCCCCCATTTCGACTGGGTCATACTACTGCGCTTCTTCCACACTTGGTTCATTAGTTTGTATGTTATGACAGCGTCTTCCACTACCATTTTAACTATGGCCGCGTCACCTACAAACCACAAAAAAACTGACAATTATAAACATCTCAAAAATTACTTTTTTACAGAACAGCTGATAATTGACATGAACAAAAAATAAAACGTTCGAAATAAAGGTCAAATCTGGAATGCTTGGACAAGCATAACAGAAATATCCAATAATTTGCGATATTTTCAAATGAACTTGAAAGTGGACAGCGAAAAAGATTAAAATGAATTATCCAAATATTTAAGGCTAACAACACCAAATAACGCCAAAGAAAATGTTTGAAAATGCTTCTTGAATATACTATAGTTGCTTCGACCGACGAAACAAAAAATATATTATAAAGTGCATAGAACGGGAGTTTAAAAATTTGATCACGTATGATCTCCCCCTTACATGGTTTTTGATCGAATGAAACGTTGAACTGCTGTTGGCGTATCAGTTCCAGCTGGTTCTTCTCTCCAGTTCCCATTTGACAGTAGATGCTGAAATATCACTTAATAACTCTTACAAACTAGATTGAAAAATTGATAAGTTTATACAAAATTTGCACCTCACATGAACGAGAAAACTGAAAATCCCTCTCTATGAAGATTTTATGAAAGGTTGCATGAAAAGTACATGGATGAAAAAAGTTTGGACCCCGGAAGTAAAAACGCTCCGAAAAAACGCGATTTCGTGGTCAAAAATTTCCAAAAAGTGTCTAAAAACGCCTTTTTTGGCCTGTTTTTTCAAAATTTGGCCTGCGGCGCAGCAAGTTTGGTCAAAATGGGGACAAAACAGTGTTTCGGGAGAGCTCGAAAAATCAACTTGGTCGAACTAAAAAAAGGTCGACAAAATTTTCGAAATTTTTTTGAAAATCCGCCCCTCCCCCTCGAGAAAATCCTAGATCCTAGACTCACGGAATCATTTGAATCCGCAGTTTTCTCACGCAGCAATAGCGAGACCATCAGTTCTTAACACATGCGAATGAAAAATGTTTCATACAAAACGTCAGCCTGGTTTTCAAAACTGTCTTTGTCAACACTTCACTGCATTAAAAGGGGGCTGTTCTTATGCACGAAGAACCGAATGCGCGAAAATTCTCAACCAATCAATTCCCTTTAAACTGTCCAAAACTGACTGATTTTATCTATCTTTTTTGGAATTTTGAATACTTAGCTCTGATTGGTTGACATAATTTTAGCCCGTTCAGTCCTTCGCGCTTGGGATTTGCCCTTAGGAAACAAACTAGAGTTATTTCGATTGTGAAACATCAACCCTCACAACTGTTCAACTAGCAGACCGTTCTAGGAGCAGACAGTGACCATTTCTCGGTGGCGACGTCAACGATTGACTTCGAACAAAAAACGCTTTGAAACTTCATTAGTACCCGGTCAAATTTTCTGCCATATAGACCAGTCTGCTAATTGCACCTGTTTTCATGAAGTGATGATGGGAGACAAACTTAGTAGTCGATTGATTGGATGGATTTCACTTCAGATCAAATGGTTTTACATAATTAGACGAAAGCGAAATTAGACGCAGATAAAAACTATACAATTAAAACAGTGGATTATGGGGAGTTTATCCGCCACAAAGTTTGACTAATTAATTCTTCTGCGTGACTTAAAACAGCCCCGCAAATTAAAATTCTGTCCCAAAAATGTCAAAAAAATATTTGAAAAAATTGCTTACTGAAACCATGAACGAGAACCTCAACTAAGACGAAGTTTTTTTGGAAGAATGATTTGAAGGTACTTAAGTCTAATTTCGCTTCTGCGTCATTAGCATAACCCAGTCTCGAGTCAGGACAAGAGATATAGTTAGTCACTGGTGAGTGGATGATTCCATTTACAAAGGATGGGGGGAGGGGGCACTTCATTTCACATCTACTTACTTGCAGTGAGCCAAAGAGCTACAGATGACAGCAGAATTTAACCTTCGGCAACTCAAGCTCACATTGCATACTGTTTAACCATACTGTTTTAATATTGCATAAGTTTTTTATTGTTCCGACCAATAATAAAATGAAAATTGAATACGGTTAGTTTCAAGTTATTTATACTTTTTTCCCCACAAAAAATCAAATTACAAAATTAAAGGTCAGACCAGATCGAGTGATGTATCATATAAAGTCCTTGTTAAGATTTGATCGGTATTTTAGCAAAAAAAGGCAAAAAAAATGAAAAAAATCTAATTGAGGCAAATTATATTTTTTGCTGAGTTGATTTAAGTCTGTATCTTGTTCCCATTACATTGCTTAGGTTTACTATCTATAAATCTTCTCTGTTTTTAGGCATGAGCTTGCTTAAGAGTGAAGATTTGAGACATCAAATTAAAGCAGGTCAAATGAACAAAAGTAAGTGATAACTGCGCAAGTAGCACAAAATATTCAAATCAAAAATTTCTTTTGAAATTTTTGTTCTGACTTTCGTAACGAAAGTAACGAAATATTTGTGATCGGGGTGGGGTTTTCTTTCTTTAGACAAACTTCGACTTTTTAACTAGCCGAGCAGTCTTGTTGTACTTATCGTCAAAGATGAGAAGAAATATAATAATTGGATGTGCTTTTTTTTTACAAAAAAAAATCAGGTACCTCTATTAAGCGTCAGATGAAGTTGACTGATGTAGACTGAATAGACATATCGAAGCCCTTCAGTCCTAGCTCAAATGTTTTTAGAAACCGATTTCTAGAAAGAGTGCAAATTGTCAAAAAAAAACATATTTGAAATCTTCGCAATTAGATTATTTTATAGCAAAAGTTACATCTTTTAAAAAATAATTAAAATCAACTAAACAGAAAATCAATTAAACACATTAACACGGGAAGCTACTAAATATCCATTCGGGATACTAAATTCAAGGCTTTATGTTCTAGCCCTGTTAGTCGTGACCCCGATTCAAATAAATAATTTCAAAGACGTTATCTGAGTGGCAAAGAAAAACCAGTCAGATTTTTTGGCGACCCTGACACTACTTAGTTTGTAATGCGACAACTCGCGTTATAAAAGACAACTCGCATTAAAACACAACTCGCAATATGCTCACCGCCGCAGTCGCGCCCACGTGTTGCGAGCTTGCCAACAGAGGGTGGGACTTTATACGAAATTTAGAGCCGGTTATTGCCGCAAAGCGGCGACGCGCGCATAGCGTGTCCACAGGCGACCTTAAACCGAGAATATAAAGTAAACTTCAAAAAATTGCGAGTAGTCTTTTGTTGCGAGTTGTCGCGGTGCCTATTTAATTATGATGAAAAAAGTTCGCCGTGAAAATTTTCGATCCAACGAAGAAAAAAAAACAGTTTTTTCCTTATATCAAATAAACAAACGCTTCATCAAAAACATTTTACGGCAGTTCTCCAAACAAATTTCTTGTTTCCCAAACGATTCTTATTGTTTTCAGCCATAATTGGCAAAAAATACTGTCGCCTAAAAAATTTAAATTACCAGCCTAACAACTAGCTATTTTTTTTCTTTTAGAATTCTAAAGTTTAATGGGCTAGGGGGGGATAAAATAAATCCATTTTCCAAGAAAAACCCAATAGACAAAAACTCTGACAATTCGACGAGCTATATTAAGATATGCGTTCTGAATTTCATAAAACAATATCTGAGCCCATTGAAACACTTCAAACTAATGTTATTTATCGTGTATTCGATCCACTGACATGGCAAGGATAGTGTGTGAGGACGAGCTCTCACTTGACCTCTAGCTTTAGATCTACCACAGCCTGACCAACTTCGGGTGCAATTTTGGTACCACGTGAAAGCTATAGACGCAAAAAAAAACGGCTTTGAGTTGCAAAAATGAGCTTCGCTAAACAAAATAACACATTCTGGAATGTGGGGAGATAATAAAAATGGACTATCCTCAACAGAACTTTTAAGGCCTACTGATAGCTCCTCTGCGATTGGCACGAACCACATTATTATTATTCATAAAAATTTTTCCACACGGTTGAGATATACCTGTCCAAATTTTCAATCAACTTGACAAAAGTTCCTTCAAATAAAATTCGGTGATTGACATAAAAGTTAGCGCGAGACAAATTTCTAATCACAATATAGATATCAAAAGATGATGAATGTTTTTAAACTTGAAACGATCTTGAGTGCAGTCCTTCTCTGTAAAATTCCGAGGAATTAAAAATTGCTTATTTGGAACTAATTATTAGCAAAACTATGCGTTTTTTACATCCATATGTCTGTAATACCTAGCGCGTAAGCTCCATCAATTTGAGCCAGGCGAATCAATCCATTTTTCAACGCACGGAAATAATCAATCTGAATTGAATTGAGGTAAATCAATAGGTCCCATTGATTCTATTCTCTACTGGACTGAAAACCAAGTCGCTTTGTAATTTAATCTGCTTGTGTGTTGTGATGATGAAAGAAAAGCTCAAAACCTTCAAGTTTTAAGTCACGACTGAATCTAATTGTTCTGATGTCAAAATTTATCGAAACAAAATTAAGTGCAGATACGAGCAATGAAAGTGACAAAGTATTCGCGATTGGTGTTGTTTTTTATTCAGAAAAGCTTCGGCTTTTTAGTTAAGTTTTTTGAACATTTTTTACTATCTGATTAGTGTCGTTGCTCTGAGCTCAAATTTTAAAAAAAACATCTGTGAACATTCTTTTTAATTAACGGGGGTTTCAATTTGATATAAATATCACGCATATGTTGCGTTTTTATAACCCTTGAAAGCGGCGAATTCAATAATTGAATAATTTCAAAACGAACTCAGACCATCATACGATTCGAGACATGGAATACATCCTTTTGTATATTTCATTGTATGGGGGAGACAAAAAGAACTCACATAATCAGAAAAAAAATCATTAATTTTTCCATTTTTTTGATTATTTTATCAATTTTTTGAAGTAAAAATTTTGCCCTGATAACAACCAATTCTGTTGTTCCGACTTTCGAAGAAAACGGAATGTTTATGCTCGGTCTGGTTTTTTTATTCAGTCAATTTTCACCGATCGAAATAATAATTTTCTACAAAATTTGTTTATACCCCATTGAAGATATCAACTTCTTGTTTCTATCTTATGATGGTGTTGTAGATTTTTCAAAAGAAGTTAACACGTTATGATAAACGCTAGAGGGGTCATTGGAAGTAATAAACTGTTACCATGTAGACTTGACTGCGTCCAGTTGAATGTGATCGCTCGACTCTTCTTTCGGTTGTTGTGGTCGATATTCGTAATTCCAACGAGAATCCACTGTGTAATTCAGTGCTCGCATTTGTTCACTCACTTCCGAAGTTAACCCTTCGAAAAAAAATTGAGATAAAAAAACAACGATATATCGAGTCTTGATTCATAAAAATAAAAATAAAAGAAAAGATTTCAATTCGATCTATAAATCGTTTTTTACACTTTTCTGATTTTCTCTTCCAATATTATGCCTATTTTCTACCCCAATTCACCTTATTAGTAACCTATTATACTCTTATTTATAATTTACATAGGTTACCTTCCAGTGAGAACTCGGTCAACCCAAAGTGCTTGTCAAGTGCAATTCCAAGTCTAAACGAACATCGATGCTAACAAAAAGTATAGTACAAAAATTAACTCAATAGCATAGTTGCTTTGAAGTCGCGGCACTCTTTTTTTGCGGAATTGCCACGATTACCTGAAGGGTGTTTGTTTCAAAGGTCTGAAGAAATAGGACATGTTACGCTTAGCAGCTCGCGTCTGAAAAAAAAGCAGGTATCAAAGTCAACCAAATAATTCGGCCAATCAGAACTGAGAAGATGCTAACCCAATCCGAAATCTGATAGACCACGTTGTCAAGGGAATGTGATCCAATTTCGGCGTTGACTATTTTAGTTCGCAGCTGAAATCAAATTAGCGCACGTTTTCATTGATAAAGATGTCTGGCTGTCCAAGAAAAAAGAAAAACAAAACTCTGTAGATCAAAAAGACAAAATGGGGAAAAAATATGCAATCAGGAGCAGACTTATGGGCATGGCTTTCGACATTTCATTTTCAGGACCCTGATTTTCAGATGACTTCCTGAACTTTTTGAAGGCACCTTTATGGGCGCCAATTTATAGTAATCTAGAAGGTGAATTGCTAGCCAAAACTCGCAATTTCTGCGGTCAACTGAAGCCATTTAAAACAAGGATAGCCGGTTACTGTGCAAGTAGCACAAAATGTTCCAATCATAGTCTTAGAAAAAAATACAACAACGGTTTTCAAGTTATTGTCGTTTTTTTTTATCGTGGTGTGATAAAAGAAGCTGAAAAAAAACTGGGGATTAGACATATTCGACAGTCATAGTAAAACAAAAAAAATTCAAAACAATTTTTGTAGAAAAATTAGAAAAAAAGCGAATAAGTTAAAAAACAATTTCAACAGTTTTTCAAGTTTTTTTGCAGTTTTTTTGATTTTTTTTATTTTGATTCCAAAAAGGCGCCAAAATACTCAAATTAAGCTGACGTTACTCAAGTAAAACTAAGTATTTATGTTTTGAATTAAGCTATTGTAAGCTTGTAAGCGATTAAAATAAGACTGTTCGCTTGCTTTAAGACGACTGTTTGCTCGAAATAAGACGAAAAATCAAAAATTCGAACCCATTTCTCCTGACAATGGGGAAAATTTCTTAAAATGTTTAAGTAGGCTTCGAAAAATGACTATAAAGGCTTTAATATGATATATTATTCGACCCAGTCCGATGATTAATTGTGGCACCTGATTTTGCGTGGAAAACAAAAAGAAAAAGAAAAAAAAACTAAAGCACACCCGAATACAAAGTTCATCCCCATTTTCAATGGTCGGAACAAAATGCCTAATATTCGGATTTTTTTGGAATTTTTCTGGTGTTTCAGAATCAGTTGCTTTTTTGGTTTTAAGAGTGTTCAGAAAAATACTTTAGCAAATCCAGAAAATATCTACGAAATCCTCGCGACCTTTTCAAAAATACCCCTGCCGAAAATCCAAGATACGAACCTCCGTTATGATACCTATCGACAGATTAAGTTTAGAAACCATATTTGCCATATGGCATAAAATTGCAAAAAATTGCAAAAAATGGCATAAAATTGCAAAAAAAGTTGCATTTAAAAAAATTGAGAACAGCTTTTTCAAATTGTCAATTCATTTGTTGATTGGCATTTTAAATTGAAAAATTTCTAGACTTTTTATCAAAAGCCAAAAACATAAGATTGCGGTTATTTATAAGCTTCTCGAGGTCAATTTTTCGGACAAATTTGTCGCTTAACATTTGTTTAGAAGCAATTAATTCCAAAACTTGTTGAGATGTTTTCGCTCCTGACAAAATTAGAATTTGATAACGTTTGAATTACAATGAAAACTTGCAATTTATGCCATTTGGGGACGGTTCATTTTTATTCCAATTGGGAATTATGCCATTTCGGAAGTTACCCAAAATTGCTTTGAAAAAAATTCGACATAATCTGCTTTTGAATTAGGAGCGAAAAAAAGCAAATTTGTCAATTCAGTTGTTGACAGACATTTAAAAAAAACAGTTAAAAAATTCCTATCAAAAGTATAAGCCTACTGTATTTGTAGTGATTAGTTTCTTGTGATCAATTTTTCCAGTAAAAATGTCACTCATAATTAGTGTCAAAGCAAGTCATTTTGAGTTTTGTTCACATGTTTTCGATGCTGATAAAAAGAACAAATATTCGACAACAGAAAGCGTTCGAGTTTCAAAGAAAATTGGAAACTTATGTCATTTGAGAATTTTGTCTTTTGGAAGTTACCACCTCGGCTTATAGTATCAGAGTCTGTCTTAAAACCACCATTTTCTACAATAGGGTAGTTAAACTTCTATATTTCGATAGATCAAGTTAAAACTGAAGCAGATCCGAATTCGGTCGAGACGATCAAACATATCTGGCATGGGTCGAGAAAGCCAAAAGATACCCGATTTCGGTCCCAGGTCTCGGCCTAATTCATCAGATATTTTTTGACTTTCTTAACCGAAAATAAAGTGATTGACCTTGCTCGACCCAAGGCAGATGTGCTTCTATCGAAACATACGCAAAATTGGTCGAGGCTGTCGAAATATAGAGTGATGATCTCGACACAGGTAAGTTAATATTTTTTAGCTTCTTAACCAATGGTTATGATTCCTTACCTCGTCTTTATGAGTCACTTTTGTGGTACATTCTTGGGTCTCGTTGTTACAACTTGGTTCTCGCTTTGAGTCGTACATTTCGACTTCTGACAAATCAACACTGTTGTAATTAGGCTTGTCCTTCTCTCTGTTCCGATTCGTCGTGTACTGAAAATATAAAACGGAATCATCAGCAAATTTCTAAGTGTTAAGTTTGCTTTGAGTTCTCAAAGTGTTACGGACATTTGCGTATTAATTAGAAAACTAAAAAATTATAGCTGTTTTTTTAGCCATAAAACAGGGTGTTCCAATTGCCTTGTATTTTTCGGGGCTTAACTTTTTGACGCAGATTTTGAGGTAAAAAAATGTAGCTGAAAAAATCGGTGGCTGTTCTCTTTTTGAAAATGAAATCTTCGCCGTTCCATGTAATAGTTTCAATGAAAATTTGAAGCTCGGGAAAACCCACTTTAGGTCTCAGATCTGGATGGAAGATAATGTATCCATTGTTTGTGATTGCAAACGTGTATCCGTTGAAGCCCAGCTGAAACAAACATTATTCACACCTGGTCAAACTAATTCATTTTTTTCACAGTCTGACGAGGAATCTTTTCACACCTGGAATGATGGAGTGAACTTGTTCATCTCTGAAATGGGCACATCTACCCCTGCAACGCCGAGCAAGTTTCCTTCGTTTTCCTAGAAAATCAAATTTGCGAAAACTTTTGTACTCGAAAACAGGTAAGAGGCCAAAGTTGGCTCTTACATTTGGGCTACTTTTTAGTAAACAACGCTAAAATAACATAAAATAATTTTGCTTCAGTATCTGCTGGAGAGAGGAAATTATATATATATTGCGCATTTTTTTTGAAAGTTTCGACAAAAAAATCCAATTTGAAACACGGTCACCTCTGAAAATCAATAAATAATGGCGCCCATTTTGATGGGTCAGTCAACTAAGAGGGGTGAAAACATGGGGTTGCCGGTGGAAAAAATTTCTGACAGGGGATTACAGACTCAAATCCGCAAAATTATCCGCATAAGAGCTTCTTGATGTCTTGCTCTCATCCGCTCAATTGCCAAACTTGACAGAAACAACCCTGAATTTTTTCAATTAAGCTTTTCTTTAATGTTCAAATGAAACTAATTTTAGCTCAAGGTTAACAACAACCATTCCCATTAATTTGATTTATTGATGTTTTTAATAACTATTATTCTTTTATAGTTTTTATAAACTGAATGTAAGGAGATAATTTCTCACCCTTCCTACGGCTTTGTCGAATGCTGGAATGGACACCGTTGTCATCAACCGGAGACCCTGAAAGATACCGATTTTTTTTTTTAAAAGAGAGAAAAAATTAGGCAGGTTGACCTTTCGGCTAAAAGGTGTTTATCTTGACAAAAATGAACTTACTGCAGACCCCACATCCATGTACACATTGGTCCATTTGAACTGGTATTTCTTTTCAATCACCATTGGCCGACTCAACACGTGTATGTATTGCTAAACAGATATTTAGAAAAATCAGAAGCAGAAGATTTTGAAGCACATGGGGGAGAGGGGGTATTGGGGAACAATGGCAGGAACTTCAATGTCCAAAAAGGATCTTTAAACTATTTTCTCCTCTTTTGCACAAAGGGGGGTTGATAAATCGTTGCTAGGTACAAAATTTGCAGATTCTTAACCATTGAAATATTTCTTTATAGGTGTAGCTTTTCGTTACTAGGTACATTAGGGGGATAGTTAAAGAGATTCCCAAAACTGCCCCTCGCTACTAAAATTTGAAGCCACTATTTGATAAGTATGAAGTACACTGCATAAAATTTTTTTTAGATAATTCTTTTTTACCTCACCTATTTCAACGAAAACAAGCGAAATTTAACTAAGTTAAAAATTATAAACTGTTTTCAGTTTATATATTGCATTTTTATTTTATTGAGCTATATGCAGTCTTTTCTTGGAAAAAGTGCCGTACCATGATGTTTATTTTGACGTCTGCTAAAGTGGCTATTTGTGTGTAGTAGCCCTTATTGTTGCACGCCATCCATTTCACTGGCTCAGAGTTTTTTACGTCTCGTCCGATGATGTACGTGAACACACGCACCTGAAAAAAAATTGGCCATTCATGTTTCAGGCAAAAGCGTGGATCATAACTCTTGTCTGTACCGAGTGCCAGTGCCGTCAAATCGTTTCTTCCATGGGACGGGAAACGCTTAAAAATTTTGAGGATTTCGGTTTAGGATATAGTTGAAAATTTGTCAAAGTATTTCGCCGGTTGATTTTTTTTTACTGCTCCCTTGCTTCGGCATTAGCACTAACCTGGGTCCCAAAGTGACCGATGAAAGCAAATTGAAGACAACGGAGACAAGAATTTGGCTAGATAAAACAAAAACGGGCCCATGCAGCGAATACTTCCTATCAGTAGCGGATTTAGGAGGGGGGGGACGCTTCCCCTTCTCAGGGATTCGACCCCCTACCGACCCAAAGGGTCCCCCCTTTGAACTATTTTGAGATAAGGGAGAAAAAAGGCTTTGGTCAAATTTTGGTCTTTATAGTGGTTTGGGAGAGCTCAGAAAATCAATTTGGTCGACCTAAAAAAAGGTCGATAAAATTTTGGAAAAGTTTTCGAAAATCCGCCCCCTCGAGAAAATCCTGGATTCGCCCCTGCTTCCTATGAAACTCAAGCAGAATGAGGTTCCTGAAGCGATTTTTCCAGAAACCCTCCAGAACAATGATGTTCATAAACACTTTTTCCAGAATCCAAGCTATAAAAAAAACGAAGCCTGAATCCATTTTTAGGTCTGCTATATTCAATTATCCACACGCAGAAACGAGACCAAAAAGAAAGTTGAAACTAGGGGAGCGGTGGTAAATTGTTGCATCTCCGGGTCTCAATCGAAAAGTGGGACGTTCGAGGCCCACTCATAATCCATGCTTGCCGCTTGAGTGTGAGTCAAAATTTCATAGCCCGAAAAAAATAATCAAAAATTGCATGTATAGCTTAACCATGGGCACAACAGCGGTTCTCATCTAAAAACTGAACAGCTCGTATGTTGGTCCTTTCCCTTGTGGATAAATCAGCGCAACATAGCAGTAATAAGTGCTCTACAGAATGACTTAAAAAATAACGGCGGAACACCAGACGCTAAAAATTTTAGAGGCATCAGAAATCTTTCTATCCAAATAAACCCGTGGAATCGGGTTTCCTACATTTTAATGACATACAATTTAACACCGTACATTTTAAAACTTAGTCATTTCACTAATAAACAATTTAAATCGACAACAATATAACTCCTATTTTCCAGTTTCACACAGTACATTTTAACACCTATTCATTTCACTATTAAAATTAATGCTGTATGAATTCCTTATCTGAACTCTTATCACACCAACGTTAATACTGCAATTAACACACGCACCATAGGGAAAAACTTGGTTTATCTTAGTTATACATGCTAAGGCTTCATAATTTACTTAAGACTCTTATCTACAAGTTTGTAATTACTTTTCAATTAGACTTTTCGCTAAACTTTCATGATTACTAAAAAAGCTGCTTGTGCTAATTTATAACAATTTGACGTAAAAATTCTGTCAAAAATTGAATTCTGACAGTCACTTTATACTTTACTCAAGTGATAAACAAACGCAAACTCAATAAACATATTATGATTGAGTCTTCTTTCGCGTTCACAGTTTCATCTAAAAACAAGCCAATTCCTATAGCGTCCGGCCATGAATTTTTTTTCAAGCGAAAAAATAAGTCTACAGAAAACTGGATTTGCTCGAATCGCTTCTTGCAGGCGTTAATTGATTTAGCACCCAACTGCCGGCCTGAAAAAATTTTGTTAGATTTTGAGCAAGCTGCTCTTCAGTCCTTCCAAAAAACATTCCCCGAAGCACATTTATCGGGTTGTTTTTTCCATCTCTCCCAGAGTTGCATTAATGAATTGTTACATTAAGAAAAATTAATGAATTGGGTCTGAAAGTGACCTATGAAACGAATCACGATTTATCGCTGGCGTTTCGGGATTCAATCATATTTCAGCGGAGCCCACCCAAATATGTGTCGAGTACTAAATCAACTGGAGGCAATTCACAGAAAGGATTCATTCGAGTGTTTTGCAGCCAAGCCTTCTTTCATTGACGGCGGGAGGAAACAAGTAGGTTCTTATCACACAAGCCAATCAGGATAATGGAATGCAAAGAATTCAAACTCCCTCCTTCTGATACTTTTATCCCCCTCCTCTCAAAACACCAAAAAAAACCTCATGGGCAGCACAAGCTTTTAAGATCATAATACCTCTGTAAAATCCAGCCACCCGGGTTGACAAATTTTTTTTTTACACTTTCATACTATGAAAAAATTGCTTTTCATATAACAGTTCCATATAATTTCGTGGACTGAAAAAATTGCATGAAAAGAGGAACATAAGAATTTTTCCAGGGTATGGAACTTTATAATAACCATTTTTCCACGGTCTGGAATTAGATAACAAGCTTTTTGCAATGATGTTTTATCACAAAATTGTATTAAAAAGAGCATAAGAAATTTTTTGTATAACATGAAATTGCAGATAAGCATTTTTCCCATACTATGAAATAGTTGAATAAATTTTAACGAAAACTCCAAGTTTTTTTACATTGAAATTTCGTGTTTTATCATAAAACACGCTAACCAAGAATTTTTATCATAATTTAGTTCACAATGTAAGTGGCAGCTACCACGCAGATAAATTAAATTTGGTAGTTTTAGCCATGTTAGTTGATGTTTACATTTTCACACAGAGTTATAAACCAATTTAAGATAAATTTTGAAACAAAAGTTTCGATTGAAAAAATGCATCGATTAAAAAAATCATCGATGAAAATTGCATGATAAGCATTTTGTCTGTATACTCCATAAATGAAGAGGTATATTAAGCTTTTTCCTGTATGGACGTCAACCCGGCCATCTTGCATTCTTTGCATCCCTAGTTCTGGCTATGATGACTAGTTCTGTCGTACTTTGACCATCTCAACAAAAATGACCAACTCATCCGAATTATTCAAGTTCAAATAGTTTTTATCTTTGTGCTGCAAATCGAAAAAATGGCTCTTAATGGCAGCCTTTTAATCACTATCTTTAATTCAACAAAACAAAGTAGGATCGGCTGTTTATAGCTCGAATGCGACTCTCTCCGACGATTAGATCAACTAAGTTTTATAAGTGAGGTTTGAGCACGTGTTATACTATTCGACCAAAACGTATAAAAATTATTCACTTTCACCCGTCTGGACCACATCATCAAATTGTCGACCTACACCTGCTATATTTAACCAGAGTGGCTGAAAGAAAGCAAAATCGTCCTTAGACATCTTTCAGCTCAGGCATTTAATTAACTAATTCATTTACTTTCATCTAATCCCTTCTAGGAGGTTAGTTTCTCTACTTAGTTTATTTCAATTCACAGTGATTTGGAAAAAAATCGATACGCGTTGAGAAAAACTAAAAATGGGCATGTATTTGTTTCAACTTCTGATAGTCGCTGAGAAAACTCACATCTTTTCAATGATTTCAAGATCTAATGTTTCGAAAGCGAAAACTAATGAAATTTTTTGATGTTAAATGTCAGTTATTTCTTGATTTGTGGGCACAATTGGTAGAACTTTGAAAAATTTTCTCTCCATCTCTACATTTTACTGCCGACTAAACGCAGCAACTAGACAAAAAAATAAGTGCCTTTTGATATGATTTCGCCATTGTTATTGAAAGTCTGCAGCACCAGTCCTCAACAAGAATCTATTGATCGAAAAAATGGCACGTTTTTGAACTTTCTAGAAACCTTTCCCAAATACATGATGAAGAAAACCTATTTTTCTAAATCACATCCAATTTCAGATGTTAATAATTGATGATATTATGATTCATATAATTTTTTCTGAAGTTAATAACACCAATAAAAACGAAAAAAAAAATCTCATTTTTTTCAAAAGGAACTAAAATGAATTTATCCATCTAATTTTTGATACAAATTATGATTGGTTTATTTTATCCCAACTTTAATTTAATTGCTATGCAGTAAAATCCATTAAAATCAATTATAAGCCCTATTAATCCTCATTTCATCTTCGATCTTGCATCTGATTTACTTACAATTTATGATTTTCATGACGTTAGATTATTTGGAAATTTGGAAAGTTGTTTAACAATTTTCAAATCAACCCAATTTCTTAACTGTTTGTTTATTTTTCAGTTTTGAAAAATTTATTCTCGGTGCACTTTCTTCTTTTTTTACATCAAAAATTTGGGAAAATTGTTTTAGCTTGATGAATGTTTTGGCAGAGTTAATTTTCACCTACCACAGGAATTTTTCACTTAATGCTATGGGAACTCTACGAAACGTTTTATTGCGATAAAAAGGAAGAAAAAAAGCAACCAAATTGAGTCTTTAAAATAATAAGACGAACAATTCTTTGAAATAATTTTTCACACAGAATCGAAATAAATCAAAAAAGTATGAATATTTTTTGAGCTGATCGGATTTTTTCGGATTGATTAGCGAAACTACTAAACAATTTCCACCTCTATGATTTCAACTAAAAAACTGCGAACCTATAAAAAAAGCTGTAAACTAGCACTAAATTGTTCTTTTCATAATTCGAACTTTGCTGCAATCTAATTGCCCGGGTTGACCTCAGTAGGACCACAGAACTAATCTTACAATTCCATAAACTAAGTCTATGAAAAAATACTAAGCATATAAATTTCACACATTTTGCTAAAATGGTGTCATCAAATTTTCAAAGAGTTTTGCAAAATCTTACAAATTTTCAAAAGTGTTGATTTAAATTATCCGGACAAAACGAACAAAACTTAAATTTTCAAACCCGTTTTTCTCAACTTGAGTTAAATTGAGACAAAAAGTGAAGAGAACAAGAGTTGCTTAGAATTTCATTAAAATTAAGATGGTGCAATTTTTTCACCGAAATTCTCAACCAAAATTTTACCCCAAAAATGGGTCATTTTGGCTTTTTTCTATTAATCAAGAATTACGCTGAAACTACTTTGTTAATTGTTGAGGAATATATATTTTTTTATATATATATATATATATATATATATATATATATATATATATATATAACAAGAAGCCTCTTTCACAGTCCAACAAAGTTCTAGGAAGGTTAAATCTCCAAAATCTGTAATGAGAAAACATTTTTGCTTGATTGTCAAGAGTCAAGAAACGTGATTATTAGTATATAAAACCCAGTCTTTGATTAAAAACAATTTCTAAACAATTTACTGGAATTTTTTGAGATTTAATCTTTCTAGAACTTTGTGTGACTGTGTAAGTGGCTTCTTGTGATATAAATTCCTCATCAATCAACAAGGTAGTTTCAGTGTAATTCTTGATTAATTGAAAAAAGCCAAAATGACCCATTTTTGGGGTAAAAATTTGGTTTAGATATTCGGAGAAAAAATTGCACCATAATAATTTTGATCAACTTTTTTTCTATTAATTTTTGTCTAATCTTAACCCAATTTGAGAAAAACGTGTTTGAAAACTCAAATTTTATTTGTTTTGTCCGGATAATTCAAACCAGCACGGTATAAGTTTCATAGATTTTGTTAAAATGGTGTCCTCGAAGTTTCAAATAACTGTTTTGCATAAATGTCGGGTGTATCCTACTAAGTTAAAGGGAAAATTCTTAGTCAAAAAATGCAAGTCATACAGTTTCCATATATGGAAATTGTATGACTAGCAACTTTTTGATGTCGACGAGTAATTTTGAAATTGCCTTAAAAAATTTTTTTTGTTTTTTTTCAGCTGCAAATCGAAATTTGTACTCAAACAAACATTCTTCAAAAAGAAAATTAGCATGCAGCTTTTAATGTTTTGTGTGCATAAAGTAATTTTTGGGTGCATAACGTAACGGATACACAAAAAATTGGATCTTTTTCCGTTTCTTTGGATAAACCTTTTCAAACAGGCTAAAACCTCCTTTTTCTTCTGTATGACATGTTTATGCATGACATGATCATTGTCTGATATATGAAAATTTTATGAGTCGCATTATTGGTCAACCTGGGTGGTTGAAAATTTTCATACTTGACAACCAGCCCATTTTCTTGAAAGGAGTTAATTGTTGAAAAGGTTGTGATTAGCTTACCTCAATTGAAATTTGAACACTTATTTGAACTTGTCGGAGTTTGGATTAATCACTGTCTCACATGAGTTGCGCTTACGCGTTGAGCGCCATATACAAGAATACAAAACCGCGAACCTTTTCATCCAGCAAACCAGCTAACTACCAAACCAACAAAAGTTTACAAAACACGATTGCCTGTGAAACAAACTTTCGTATTCAAAAACATGGAATACATATGTTCAAACGGTTATAGCTATTACTGAAAAACTATTGTATTTATTAGTTCAAAGAAAAACTTTGCCCAACAATTTTGCATTTAAAAAAGTTTAAAGCTACGATTGCAAGCTCTTACGTCTGAAAGCATTCTTTTATCATAATGTACACGCTAACAACTACACGATATAATTTTTTTTTTCAGACAGGCTAAAAGCGTGATTCAGTCATTTTTTGGTATTTTTTGCGATGAAATCTAATGTTCATTTTTCTAGGTTAAGATTCATAATGAGGTAATTTTTTGCTCGACTGAAAATATCATCAATCAAATTTATTACTGTTTACAGCAATTTTTGCAATCTTATCAATCTGAAAATATCATCAATCAAAACTTCTACTGTTTGCAAGTTATTTTGCATTTATTTAGTTCATTTTAGCTCTGCTGGAAATATAAACTTGCACTTTTTTTCAAATCAACCCAATTTCTTAACTGTTTGTTTATTTTTCAGTTTTGAAAAATTTATTCTCGGTGCACTTTCTTCTTTTTTTACATCAAAAATTTGGGAAAATTGTTTTACCTTGATGAATGTTTTGGCAGAGTTAATTTTCACCGGAATTTTTCACTTAATGCTATGGGAACTCTACGAAACGTTTTATTGCGATAAAAAGGAAGAAAAAAAGCAACCAAATTGAGTCTTTAAAATAATAAGACGAACAATTCTTTGAAATAATTTTTCACACAGAATCGAAATAAATCAAAAAAGTATGAATATTTTTTGAGCTGATCGGATTTTTTCGGATTGATTAGCGAAACTACTAAACAATTTCCACCTCTATGATTTCAACTAAAAAACTGCGAACCTATAAAAAAAAGCTGTAAACTAGCACTAAATTGTTCTTTTCATAATTCGAACTTTGCTGCAATCTAATTGCCCGGGTTGACCTCAGTAGACCACAGAACTAATCTTACAATTCCATAAACTAAGTCTATGAAAAAATACTAAGCATATAAATTTCACACATTTTGCTAAAATGGTGTCATCAAATTTTCAAAGAGTTTTGCAAAATCTTACAAATTTTCAAAAGTGTTGATTTAAATTATCCGGACAAAACGAACAAAACTTAAATTTTCAAACCCGTTTTTCTCAACTTGAGTTAAATTGAGACAAAAAGTGAATAGAACAAGAGTTGCTTAGAATTTCATTAAAATTAAGATGGTGCAATTTTTTCACCGAAATTCTCAACCAAAATTTTACCCCAAAAATGGGTCATTTTGGCTTTTTTCTATTAATCAAGAATTACGCTGAAACTACTTTGTTAATTGTTGAGGAATATATATTTTTATATATATATATATATATATATATATATATATATATATATATATATAACAAGAAGCCTCTTTCACAGTCCAACAAAGTTCTAGGAAGGTTAAATCTCCAAAAATCTGTAATGAGAAAACATTTTTGCTTGATTGTCAAGAGTCAAGAAACGTGATTATTAGTATATAAAACCCAGTCTTTGATTAAAAACAATTTCTAAACAATTTACTGGAATTTTTTGAGATTTAATCTTTCTAGAACTTTGTGTGACTGTGTAAGTGGCTTCTTGGATATAAATTCCTCATCAATCAACAAGGTAGTTTCAGTGTAATTCTTGATTAATTGAAAAAACCAAAATGACCCATTTTTGGGGTAAAAATTTGGTTTAGATATTCGGAGAAAAAATTGCACCATAATAATTTTGATCAACTTTTTTTCTATTAATTTTTGTCTAATCTTAACCCAATTTGAGAAAAACGTGTTTGAAAACTCAAATTTTATTTGTTTTGTCCGGATAATTCAAACCAGCACGGTATAAGTTTCATAGATTTTGTTAAAATGGTGTCCTCGAAGTTTCAAATAACTGTTTTGGCATAAATGTCGGGTGTATCCTACTAAGTTAAAGGGAAAATTCTTAGTCAAAAAATGCAAGTCATACAGTTTCCATATATGGAAATTGTATGACTAGCAACTTTTTTGATGTCGACGAGTAATTTTGAAATTGCCTTAAAAAATTTTTTTTTGTTTTTTTTTTCAGCTGCAAATCGAAATTTGTACTCAAACAAACATTCTTCAAAAAGAAAATTAGCATGCAGTTTTTAATGTTTTGTGTGCATAAAGTAATTTTTGGGTGCATAACGTAACGGATACACAAAAAATTGGATCTTTTTCCGTTTCTTTGGATAAACCTTTTCAAACAGGCTAAAACCTCCTTTTTCTTCTGTATGACATGTTTATGCATGACATGATCATTGTCTGATATATGAAAATTTTATGAGTCGCATTTTTGGTCAACCTGGGTGGTTGAAAATTTTCATACTTGACAACCAGCCCATTTTCTTGAAAGGAGTTAATTGTTGAAAAGGTTGTGATTAGCTTACCTCAATTGAAATTTGAACACTTATTTGAACTTGTCGGAGTTTGGATTAATCACTGTCTCACATGAGTTGCGCTTACGCGTTGAGCGCCATATACAAGAATACAAAACCGCGAACCTTTTCATCCAGCAAACCAGCTAACTACCAAACCAACAAAAGTTTACAAAACACGATTGCCTGTGAAACAAACTTTCGTATTCAAACACATGGAATACATATGTTCAAACGGTTATAGCTATTACTGAAAAACTATTGTTTTTATTAGTTCAAAGAAAAACTTTGCCCAACAATTTTTCATGCATTTAAAAAAGTGGCGCAAACGTTTAACGCTACGATTGCAAGCTCTTACGTCTGAAAGCATTCTTTTATTTTTTGAGTCTCCTATCATAATTTACACGCTAACAACTACACGATATAATTTTTTTTCCAGACAGGCTAAAAGCGTGATTCAGTCATTTTTTGGTATTTTTCGTGATGAGATCTAATGTTCATTTTTCTAGGTTAAGATTCATAATGAGGTAATTTTTTGCTCGACTGAAAATATCATCAATCAAATTTATTACTGTTTACAGCAATTTTTGCATCTTATCAATCTGAAAATATCATCAATCAAAACTTCTACTGTTTGCAAGTTATTTTGCATTTATTTAGTTCATTTTAGCTCTACTGGAAATATAAACTTGCACCTTTTTTTATAAAAACATGAAATTCTGATTGCCGAATTTATGGCTAATTCAGGGGAGGAGAATCTCTAAATAAGCAGTACTTGTTTCCCCGTAGAGCCAAAATTGACAGCAGAATCAAGAGACGTCTGCTCCGTTTTGTTTGACTCTAACTCAATTAAACGGGACAAGAAACTTTGTCAAAATGGACAATGGCAAGAACTGAAGAGCAGACCAGAATCAACTCAGCTGCAAATCAACGATTGCTAATTTAGTTGGTTAATGTAGTTAGTAAACCGAATGAAAAGATCGAGGGGGGTTCAGGTATAATTTGGCACATTGAGTTGAATGTAAACTGAAAATCTGGCAAAAAAAAAACAATTTCAATGGCTCATTAACTCGGTTATGATTTGTGACTCTATGAATCTATGAATTTTGAATTTTTTTGTATGCTTTTCCGAGTAAATTTTTAGTACCTCATAAAAAGATCTTAAAGAGTTCGATTTCAACCGCAACTCCAAAGCTAATTTCAATCAAGTTGTTTCGAGAAAAAAAACAATCTAAGAGGACGGGGATAGTTCACGAGGAAATCAGAATTTCAAAAAAACTATTTTAACTTGCCTCTTTTCGTGCGTTGTATTTAGTGAAGATGTGTTCGAAGTTTTCTACTGCCCCATCTGTGAGTAGCATAATAGCTTGACTGCAACTGGACCCTGTTTTGTTCACCTTCGACTGAAATTTAAAAAAAGATCAATTATTTACTTTTTTCACTGATATAGCAAAAAAAAGAAAAATTGAAACACAAAATAATTTCATATTTTTCAGGTTATGAGACCATGTTTATGTTGGGTTTGTTTTTTCGCAGCGTTTGGAGCAATAAAAAATGCCATAGTCTTCTGTTTTCTTCTCAAATTGAGCCAAAAATGAAATGTTTCAGTAGATAATTTAATTATAATGAAGTAATAAGGAGATAATTTACCGCATTAAGTAGTTTGAAGGCTACTTCCAATGCCCTCTCGAAATTGGCGATTCCATTCGACTCGATTTCTTTCGTCTTTCCTTTCAGATACTCTTTGTTGTCCGAGTTGGCTTGAACTAAAGTATCTGTGAAGCACTCTTCCAAGTATGTCACGTCTTCCGAGAACTAAAAAATGAACAATTCAGCAATGATAAAAAAACTAAAGTGAGTATGTGAATCAACCAGCCAAATTATAACCCACACCGAAACGGTCACGGTATGTAAACCAGCTGATATTCATGTCTCAGAGTTTACCCGGGTCGATGTCTGTGATTAATTTCCAGACTTTAATAGCGGACAGCAGCGGATTTGACCCCCTGGCTACAATTTTTTGGTCAAAACTGCCCAGAAAAGGCCTAGAAACTTGCCTGTGGCGCAATTTTTTTTGCCAAAATGGGGTCTTATTAGTGTTCTGGGAGCGCTCGGAAAAACAATTTGGTCAACATAACAAAAAAAATTTGAAAATCCGCATCAAAAACCCCCCACCCCCAACCCCCCTCCGAGAAAATGTAGATCCGCCCCTGATAGCTGATGCGGATTTATAGGGACACCTCCCTTTCCCCCTTCCCTCCTTATCTCTCTCTCTCTCTCTCTCTCTCTCTCTCTCTCTCCTCCTAAATGAAAAACTCCAAAATCCGCTCAGTGGTGATCGGGCTTTGTTACCCGAACAAGCGTTCTGAGAATCTAAAATGTTATTTTTCTCAAACAGTTTTGGATCTTAAAGCCTTTGGTTTTGGAGAGCATGAAAATTCAAAAAACCACTAACAATTTTTTTGCTTTAACCCCGTCAACCCAAAATCCACATGAGTCAATGGTTTGAAGTTTTTACATTAGCAGCATACATTACGTTATGCAAGTTACGTAACAGTTATGATATTGAAGAAGTCGTCGTCCAATAGGGTTTCGATGATGTGATGGATTGCGTTCCGGGCGACGAACTCCCGACTTCCGGTCATGCTGCCACTCGTGTCTAAGAGAATGACGATGTCTTTAGGAGAGTGAGATGCCTGCAGGTACCACGGTCTGTCTCGGGCGTCAAAATGGTCTATTTGACCGTCCTCGGTGTCCCAAGTTACACCTGAAGTTTAAGTGACACTTTTTTGCAAGAAGAAAATTTTTGTTGAGAAGTTTTTTTTTAAAAAAAAGCAGAAAAGTTCTGGTCAAACTGGGAATACAGCTGTTATTGTTATGGCCGCTCTAGTTTCTTGTACTTATAAATATTTTTTTGAGAAAAGATGGACGGGAAGCTGAGAAAATATAATATCTGGTGATTTTTTGTAATACATTTTTTTCCAAGACGATTTAAGTTCATCATAATCACGGCATAATTTTGAAAAATTAAAGTACAACAAAGACTGGATCTTGGACTCTTGGATCTTTTCTCCGACAGCGATCCAAAAAATCTCAGCCGACAAGAATCATTAATTACAATTGCAGCATAGAGAAGTAAAAAAACTATATGCTTAGACAGGCCTTTATAGCCTTTCATGCAGGAGCGGATTTAGGGGGAGGGCGGACGCTCCCCCCCCCCCTTCCCTCAGGAATTCGACCCCCTGCCGACCCACGCGATTTTGTTTGTCAAAATTTTCTGACCTGTTTTTTTTTCTACCCAAAAACAGCTTTTTTTTAACTGTTTTTTCAAAAATTTGACTGCGGTGCAGAAAATTTGGCCGAATCAGCGTCTTTTTACTGCTTTAGGAGGGCTCGGAAAATCAATTTGGTCGACCTAAAAAAAAGGTCGTCAAAACTTTCGATTTTTTTTTTTTGAAAATCCGCCCCCTCGAGAAAATCATATATCCGCCCCTGCTTTCATGCAGCCTCTGCGAATCGCAGAAACCACGAATAAATGAATAAATAAATAAATAAATAAATAAATAAATAAATAAATAAATAATTAAATAAATAAACAAATAAATAAATAAAAAAAATAGATAAATAAATAAATAAAAAAATAAATAAATAAATAAATAAATAAATAAATAATCAATAAAGAAAGAAAGAAATAAATAAATAATAAATAAATAAATAAATAAATAAATAAATAAATAAATAAATAAATAAATAAATAAATAAATAAATAAATAAATAAATAAATAAATAAATAAATAAATAAATAAATAAATAAATAAATAAATAAATAAATAAATAAATAAATAAATAAATAAATAAATAAATAAATAAATAAATAAATAAATAAATAAATAAATAAATAAATAAATAAATAAATAAATAAATAAATAAATAAATAAATAAATAAATAAATAAATAAATAAATAAATAAATAAATAAATAAATAAATAAATAAATAAATAAATAAATAAATAAATAAATAAATAAATAAATAAATAAATAAATAAATAAATAAATAAATAAATAAATAAATAAATAAATAAATAATTAAATAAAAATACTGGACCCTTGGATCTCTGCGGATGTTGGCTGCTGACCTGGATAGTTGCGGAAGAATCCAGTGGAGCTGGCGAAGTATTGCCAGGTGAGGGTGGAATCATTTAACATGTTCTCATAGAACACCTTGTTGAGAGACTCGGTCATGAAGATACCATTCACCACCGCCGGATCTAAAGAGATACAGAGAGTATTAAGACAGTTATCGTAGTTAAACCAGCCGAAGTATAAGCCAGCCGAAGTATAAACCAGCCGAAGTATCAACCAGCCGAAGTATCAACCAGCCCAAGTATTAATCAATCGAAAAATTGACCAGCCGAAATTACGTAATTGTTATATAATAGTTAAACAACAATAAAGTAGCAGCTCCGGAAGCTATGCAATTTTTATTCATATAGTGTAACTTTTCAGCTGGTTTATACTTTGCGCATTTTCGGTTGGCTTATACTTCGGCTGGTTTATTTATTCTCTAGACGGTACTCTTTTGAAACAATAAACCCGAATGAGCAGTTGATCATAAAAAACCTACTGCCATTATTTGCAATTACACGTGACGGTGACGGCACTTTATTTTACTTGTTTGGTCCCTAAAAATTGCTGCAGCCCCTAATTAAAACAGAGCTATTTTCACTCTTTTTCTGGTAGAATATTGTTTTCTGTGTCATATCTCTCTCACCACAAGAACTCGTCTTAAAATCTAGTTGTTATGTCGACGGTTGCCCCCTTAATCACTTTAAAACGTTTTTTTTTGCGATCCTTTCGCATATGCACTCAAACACGTATGACTGAACTCTACTAACAAGGCTCTCAAAACTCTCTGAGTGATTGACAGTTCGATGTGAAAAAAAGGTTCACTGGAAAATTAGCAAGTCCATCGTATGAAACAATTGACGCTGGACTGATAACTTTTTCAATTATTGGAAGCAAAATTGCTGCAACTTCTGTCGGAAACAAGCCTCAAAAATTCTATTTCTCGCTCAGTGTCAAAATGCCACTAAAGTCCCAATGCTGTGGAACAATACGATCGCAATTTTTTTTTTTGCGGTGGGATTTGATTGGTTAATTTTTTGAATAATTACCCCTGGCTTACCAATATTGGCAAGGTGGCTGACGAGATATTTTGAGCAAAAACCCATGAGGTAAATGTACCATTTGATTGCTGTAAATTATAGAGTTTAGTGCTGTAAACTTATTTTATGCTGCTCCTGGTAGCTAGCTATTCTCGACTGTGGATTCTTTTTGTTCCGACTTTAAAAGAAAGTGAGAAAAAACTATGCTTGGTATGTTTTTTTAACTCACACCAATTCTACAAAAAAGTTGGGGGAATCGTGTGGATCGAACCGGGATTTTTTGGATGGTGAGCTCCCATTTGTACCGAGGTTCATTTCTACTAAAACGAAAAATTGATCCCATTTGTACTAAAAAAATCCAACTCGGTTTTTGATTGGTCGAATAAGGAGCTAACAAATTATCAAACTAAACTTATACCGTTCAGCATAAGACTAAACAGCAGAGTAGTGATCGCCGCAGTCGAACCAACGGGTTGCGAGCTTGTCAACAGAATAGGGCACTATATTAAATATAGAGCCAATTATCGCCGCGAAATTACCATCGGATATAGGAATAGCATTATGGAAGGACCGAATGTCGGAAATTTTTTCAGTTACTTTTAGTCAACCAGAAATGAGTATTCAAAAAAAAGTAGAAAAAACGCAAAAACTCAAAGCCGGGCATTGGTAAAAAAACTTGAAACCGATCTTTCAAAACAGTCATTGAACAAAACAAAAAACTTTCTGTTCATCTGCACAAATTGTACTGCTATGATTCAATTTTGCTAAAAGTGACTCAGGTATTGTCCACGACGATTTAGCCGATAGGAACGTCTATCAATTCTGATTGGTTAAAAGTTTTCTATAGTTTGGTCTCACCATCATGAGAATACCACCGGCTTGATCCCTTTTGAAAAAGGCGGCTCCGCCTGAAAGTAATATTACTTCTGCTTTCTGCGCACTTTGACCGTGCGATCCTTTTTTGACCACAAACTACTCGCGGATAATAGCCAATAAATTTTGATTACTAGAAGAAGGGGCGGTCTCTCATGGTGGAGTGATGGAATGCTGGAAATTTATTTTTACTTTTCAACCAATCAGAACTGATTATTTGATAATCTCGAACAAAAATCTCAGAGAAAGCGAATAAAACCTGGCCATAAAAATTAATATTGACCATTTAGAATATAAGCAGAAGATGAATTTTACAATTTTACAAAGTCGAAGTCGGGTATTAGAAAACAACCTCAAACGGTTTATAAAAACTTTAAAAATATTTTTTTTTTAATTAAAACTAAAACAATTTTTTGTGTCTATCTGCGCAAATTGTACAGCAAAACATTGCTGTGCTGCTATAATTGTTTTTCTGTTAATAAAGAATTCGGTTATGTGCAAAAATCATATAGCCAATAGGAACATCCAGTGATTCTAATTAGCTAAAAATTTTCCATCATGTGGTTTCTCCATCATAAGAATACCCCCGCCTAGAAAAATAGAGACAAGATACCGCTCCACCGCGTTTTGCAGGAAAAACGTACAATGGGTGTTTTAATTCTCTCAGGTCGAATTTTAAATGTTCTTCGTTGATGATTCATTTCACCGAGCATTTTTCTGACGAAAAATACCTTCTAACTAATCTGATTTCTCGCTGGAAAATCTCTACGAGACATTTGAAAAAAGATTTTTTAAACTATTTTAGGTTACGGGGCTCGCATCTCCGCTCTTGCGTCATTAAAAACGCATTAACGGCTAAGCCATTAAACAGGAGTTCATCAAACGTCAAAGCAACAACTTATCCGTAACACTTAGTTAGCTTCAAAGTTACCAACTGCAAATCTAAATGGTTAAGATAAGTCAAAGACAATTACTGTACGAAAACACAAAAAAAATTAAATTAGATTCTTTATAATAAATTTTCTAGGCGGTTTAGAAGCTTTTGTTGAGTACGGGTAGTCTGTTGATTTTTTGTTCCAAGTTAACCTAGTGGTAATTCCAAAAGGAGCAGGTTCGAATCCTGGTTTGATCTTTGCTTTCTTATTTTTAATAGAAGATAAGCGCGACCAATCGTATAAATTAGTTTTATCAGGCAACCAAACAAGAAAACTAGTTCGCTGTTGACTTCTATTCATCAGCATGCTAACATGCCCGAACTGGAATATGCCATCAATAGAAAAAAAATACAGAGGAGTTGCACAAAAGATTCAGCCCCAAAATATGGGCTGAAAAAAAAAATCTTTTTGATAAGATTTTACAAAAAACTATTAACCTTTTTTGTATATGTTGACAGGCACTTGCAGTGTGCTGTATGTGAAATTGATAAGTTGGTCTTGAAACTTGTCGTTTGTGGTGAAGTTCATATACTGGTAGTCTTGCCGCAACTTCGGAACCTTCCCCGTCGACCCATTTTCAAACTTCACGGATACGTTGTCGTAGACATTCAGGAAGTTGGCGTTATAATACTCGAACTGAAAGATGCAAGAAACATTGCTGACAATATTTTTAAAATTATTATTATTACTCAATTACTCAATATTACTCAATTATTATTTCAGCATAGATTACCAATATTGCCTTAAAATTCACCCAAGCCAATATTGACGGCAAAAATCGCCTTATGTGTGTTTGACGACAAAAACCCAATTTACGTTTTGAAACGAATGCTGACGGCAAAAACCGCATTTATGCTTGCTCACAAAATTATACTGATGCTGATTGCGAAAGTTGAGAGGCAAGGAAGACAAATTGTTTGAAAGGCAGTTGAATTCGACTTACATCTAGATCTTCTCTGTACGGGTGGTTCTTGTTCCTCTCTTCCGTCTCGTCTACAATGTTCTAGAATATTCTAGTGTTACTTTATTGCTTTACAAAATTGCATGCTCATAATCAGAGGCGGATTTAGGGGGGGGGGGCGGACGCCTCCCCCCCCCCCCCCTCAGGGATTCGAACCCCTGCCAACCCAAAGGGTCCCCTTTGATACTTTTTAAGAAATCCATTTTTGGCCAACCGACCCTAAAATTTTTCTAAAGGCGCCTTTGGCGCCAATATATACTAATTTTGAGGGGGAGCGCGCGCCAAAAAAAACGCTTTTGACCTGTTTTTTCAAAAAATTGCCTGCGGCGCAGAAAATTTGACCACAACAGGGTCTTTTTACTGCTTTGGGAAAGCTCGGAAAATCAATCTGATCGACCTAAAAAAAAAAAAAAGGTCGTCAAAATTTTCGAAAATTTTTTGAAAATCCGCCCCCCCTCGAGAAAATCCTAGATCCGCCCCTGCT